TTCCTCACCTACTCTCACAGCTTAAATCTATGCAGTCTCAAGTCTTTTTTATTTATGCACCCCCATATATATAAAAAGTTTGAACTCTTTCTATGTATGCCTACTGGTTTATTTGTAAATTATAAATACAAACTTCTTCACTATATTATTAAAATATAACTAATAGCTAAATTTCAAGGTTGAAATTTTTTAAAATGTAAATACAAGTTCTAATCTTTCTTCCATAAGACAATAGACTGTCTTGAACATCTCCTGAAAACCACTGCCCGGATAATTCCTGAACTTCAGATTCATATGACACTCTGGGAAATCTCCCAGTGATATCTCAGAGGTACCTCATATCCACACGTGTGAACAAATTCAGCAGGTTTGCTTGTCAAACCATGCACCCACACCCAGCCTCCCAAGAAATCATTCAAAACACCAGTTCCTTGTTTGCTAGACATCAAGTCAGCACTTACAGGAATGGGAGCTAGAAATCATGTGACCTGAGTGTGATGGGGTTGAACTCAGTCCCCAAAAAGAATGTTGCAGTCCTAATTCCCAGCACCTCTAAGTGTGGCCTTACTTAGAAATAGGATCTTTGAAGATTATCCAATGTCAGTGTCCTTACTGAAAGGGTAAGTGGGTACACAGGAGACAGACACAGAGAGGGGACAATTTGAAAACCCACAGAGAACACCATCTACATACTGAGAAATACCGGGGGCCACTGTACGCTAGGAGAGACCCCTGAAACAGTTTGTTTTTCACAACTTTCAGAAAGAACCAACCCAGTAACTCTAAACTGCTTCATGGAAAGGAAGAAAAAGTCAACCAAGGAAGTCATCAACTAAAAAAGAAAATATAGAACATCCTACCACCTCAACAACTGATTCTGATTCATCTGTACCAGTTAAAGTACTAGAAATAGACAGCTGTGGTTCAGCTGAATACTTGCAACAGTCTCTTGATGTGTCCCAAACGTTATTTGGAAAATCTTAGCGACCTGAGTCAAAAATGAAACCTGAATTTGTAAAAGAAAAAGGTACTGTTTACTCAAATGAGGAGAAAGATAATTTAAAAGAACCAGTAATAACTGAAGAGGAAGAATTAACAGTTCAGAATATACCTGGTTTTGACAACATAAAAGAAACCAATATACAGGATGGTAGTGTGCCGATTATTAAATATTAAAGATCATGCGACTCAGTGTGCATTCAGTTTTCAGAATTCTTTGCTGTATGACTTGGATTAAGTCTATATAACTTCAGAATTTAAAGGTTAAGAGCAGAACATTTTTGGACTTAAATTCTACTTCTGTAAACTACTACCTTAAAACCAAAGATATTCAAGAAAGTATATTTTGGATTTAAAATAGGTTTTCCATTTACTCTCTAAAAACTATTCAAGAAATTAAAATTTGCAATTTTGATTCTAATGGGGAAACTGGAGGTATCTTTCTGCATGTAGAGTTTATACAGCTTCCTTAATTAGGGAGATAAGTTTTGTGATTCCTCTGAGAGATTTCATCCTGAGAGTTAAACATTTAGTTTTAATATAACCTGTATATACTTACTTCTGTGTTGTTTTTGGCTTGTTTTGTTTATCATTACACTTTAATAAAGTTTCAAGATACTCACTAAGTTATGTCTGTCACAAAAAGAACTCTCAAGAATCTAACTAGAAATATGAGTTGCATTTGTAAGGGGGACAAAATCTCAAAACTGTTTAGAAATATCACTAAATAAGGTGTATTTATGCTTGAAATAGAGATTCTAAGAGATGAAAGAACTTTACTAAGCAATATTAATAATTCAAATAATTATAGTATAAATATACTGAATGAAATTTAGTATTTTTGCTTCAACTCTATTTTACTGTTCTCATCTAGCATAGAAAAAATATATATATTTAAAACAGGTTATTTAGTAATGACTTTAAGAAGGCAGCAGGTAATGAATCTGTGGCTAAGTTATTAATTTTGTGGAATAGTATTTGTATCTGAGGTCAGAAGAAAATCCTAATAGATTTTTTCTCACAAAAATGTTTAGGACAGCATGAAAGGAAATATAGAAAGGAAAATATCTGCTGACCTAATCTCTGACCCCAAAGACCATGAGCTGATGCATCTGTTCCAAAAACAGCTACCAATTTAAACTTCTGGCCTTAACTTAGACCTGGAAATTACCTAATATCTTTAGTCCTTTGAACTGAGGAGGTCAGATCAGAGCACCAAAAGCTGGTACTCTTTACATTTATAATCCTGATGAAGTCTGGAAGAGACTGGGCTGAGGACAGTATAAATGTAGCTAGATCACAAAACAAGAGAACTATTTGCCCCAACTTAGATGACCAGGTGCATTTTTCAATCTAACATGAATCTTGATTTGAGGCAGTAATTTTGAAAATGTCCACTTAATATACAATTTTCGTAGATTGAAATGACTAACTGTAATAGCTACACAGAAATTAGTCTATAATTTTGGGTTGAATGGAATCGTATACTGTTAAGGGAAACTTCTACATTGAACATGGAGCAAATTTTAAGCCTGTTTCCTATTATTTACTGTATCTGTCCTTTTAAAAAGTATGATTTCAGTTAAAATAAAGCTGGCACTGGAACATGAAATATCTTATTATAAAAAAAGAAAAAAGAATCAGCCCTACCAACACTCTGATCGTGAACTCTGGCTTCATTTTCTGTTGTTTAAGCCATCGTTTTGTGGTACCTGTTGAGGCAGCCGCAGGAGCTAGGAATTAAGCATGACCCTGAGGAACAGGCTCTGCGCAGTCTCAGGTCAGCCTTCTCAACCACCTCCCCAGAGCCCCGTGGCCCTCACATCTGCAGTGCCGACTAGAAGGACTTTCTGTGGGGCCAAGTGGACCAAGTCAGCCTACTTAGCACCCTTCAGTGGCTCCCTACCACTCAACGAATGAGCGAGGTCCTTGCATGGACCCGAAGGCCTGGCTCAGCTTGCCTGCCGCTCGGACGTGTAACCATGCCACTCATACTGTCCCATGTGCCCCTGGTCTGTGCGTCAGAGCAGGCATGCTTGGCTCTCTCAGGGGCTATCTCTGCTCATACTGCTGCTTCTAAGCAGAATGTAAACTCCCACTGCTACTTTACAACACATAACTCAAGGGCTCTCTGAAAAATCTAACCTAGCCGAAACCGGTTTGGCTCAGTGAATAGAGCGTCGGCCTGTGGACTGAAAGGTCCCGGGTTCAATTCCGGTCAAGGGCATGTACCTAGGTTGCGGGCACATCCCCAGTGGGAGATGTGCAGGAGGCAGCTGATCGATGTTTCTCTCTCATCGATGTTTCTGACTCTCTATCTCTCTCCTTTCCTCTCTGTAAAAAATCAATAAAAAATATATATAAAAATAAAAAATCTAACCTAACTCCACTGGTGGAAGATGCTCCTCCCTAACACAGTGCTACCTGCAGACCAAATGACAAATTCAGCAACTATCTAAGAGACTCAGTTGTTTTTCACATAGAGTTAACAGGAATAATTTTACCACCTTCTTTGCTACTACAACAAAGAAGGCTGGCAGCCATCAGAAAGTTGCCCACACATACACTTATAAAAAGATCACTTCTATCTCAATAGAAGTTAACTTACATGTTTAAAAAGAAAATGATAAAAGAATGATGTTGAGCAAATAAATAAATACGGTTGGTTAATTTATTCAGAGAACATCTTTCTTTGTTGAGGGATTTTTAAAAAATTTTGTTTTTTAAAATGTTTTTTATTTATTTTTAAAGAGAAAGGAAGGGAAAGGGAGCAATAGAAACATCAATGAGAGAGAAACATACATTGGCAGCCTCCGCACACCCCCTACTGGGGACTAGGAGTGGAGCCTAGAACTTGGGTATGTGCCCTGACGGGGATTTAAATCAGGGACCTCTTGGTACATGGGTCAATGCTCAACCACTGAGCCACACCGGCTGGGCTGGTATGGGCTTTTTATTTTTATTATTTTATTTTTATATATATGTGACCTGAATATATATATATATATATATATATTATTGATTTCATAGAGAAAGGGAGAGGGAGAGAGATAGAAACATCAACGATGAGAGAGAATCATTGATTGGCTGCCTCCTGCACAACCCCACCAGGGATCAACCCCACAACCTGGGCATATGTCCTGACCAGAATCAAACCGCAATCTCCCGGTTCATAGGTTATGCTCAACCACTGAGCCACGCCAGCCAGGCTGTTGTGGGCTTTTTAAAGAAGATGCATATAATTGCAAAGAATATTTAAAGAAATAATAAATGACTTACTTCTTCTGTATTAATAATAAGCTTAGCTAAGAAGAGACGAATATTCAATGATACCAATGGATTTCCTAGTTTGTCATGAAGAAATTTCATCCAAGCAGGAAGATGTGTTGGCACTGAACCCTGAAATGATACATTCAAAATTACCTTCAAAAGTAGACTAAAATAACTTCATATTTTGATATTATGAGATAACAATGACAAAGTAAAAGATGAACAGCAAAAATCATGTTTATTTGATATGAAATTTGGTTTTAGTCTGTGATATTAAATGTTCTTTTTTTTTTTTTTTTTTTTTTTTTTTACCTGAGGACATGCTTTTACTGATTTTAGAGAGGAAAGGAGGAGAAGGAGGAAGAGAGAGAAACATCGCTGTGAGAGAGAAACTTCAATTGGTTGTCTCTCTTATCCACCCCAACCAGGGATCAAACCCACAACCTGGGTATGCACCCTGACCGGGAATCAAACCCGTAACCTTTCAGTGTACAGGACAACATCCAACCAACCAAGCCACACTGGCCAGGGCTAAATGTCCATTCTTATGTGACATCAATGAATATAATGAAGTGAGACAATGTAAGATACTGAAGACAGACAGACCTCTTCTCCTTTAGGTAGGATCTGATTTCTCTGCATGTGCTTAATCAGGGCTGTCATAGTTGCCATGCATTCGTGTTGATTGAGTTCATCCATCTCTAACTCCAGGATATCATCTTGGATCGTGGGGTCTTTATGCTCCTACAAAAAGGTAAGACTCCGACTATGTAGAGCACACTGTTAAAATTTCAGTGTACAAGACATTCTGACTTTTTGGGCAATATCATGAAATACACACTTAAGTAACAATGATAATTTGGTAATAATATCAAATACACTTGGTATGTTTTCTTATTAAACAACTAAAAAATAAACAGAACCTCATGTCTTCCTTACCTTCTATTTCCCCTCTATGCCTTGTCTATGTGGTCACTCCCTTGAGGTCACACTCAGGTCACAGCGTATATACAGACATATGCTGCTTTGAAGAAACACTAAGATTTTTACAAATCTGTGTGTATTGAAGGCCTCAGAACCCTCACCACCTTGAGAGCAATGGTCTCATGATTAAGTGTCACTTTATGGAGAAAGTGAAGCTATTAAATATTAAAGTATCATTAAGATAATGTTTACCTATTTTTTCTCAATAATCTGAAAAAAAGTTTTTCTCTGAAAACCTTTGTAAAGTCCTCAATTTGCCTTAAAATTGTAATCAATAGAACAAAACTTTTAAACCATTCTTTTTTTCTTTTAATCCTCACCCAAGGATATATTTCTTATTGACTTTAGAGAGAGGAAGAGAAAGAGAGAGAGAAACATCGATCGGTTGCCTCCCATACATGCACTGACCAGGGATCAAACCTGGAACCTAGGTATGTGCTCTGACCAGGAATAGAACCAGCAAACTTTTGGTGTATGGGACGATGCTCCTACCAACCAAGCCCCCTAGCTGGGGCTTACGCCATTCTTGATCATAAAATCTCTGAGAAAATACAGCAGTAATAATCATTTTTTACATGTAATGATGAATTGAGGTTTGACATACACGTTCAGTAAATTTCATTCACACATACATACATGTACATGTGCGTGCACGTGTACACACACACACACACACACACACACACACACACACACACACTGAGGCTAAACAATCTGTCAGGGATGTTTTCCAGCACAGATCACTCCAGGAAAAAAAGACTTGAGAAATCCTGAGAGGACATTTTTGGACAGCTAAAAGTCAGTTTGGGGCTACCAAGTGCTTACAGAGATTGAGTAGAAAGAGGAATAAAAATGGCCCTAGACAAATGTAATGCTGTCTGTCCTAGTGGCAGGAACTATCCCAGAATGTCACTTTCCAAGATGGAGAGTATTTGAAAATGTGCTCCCCTTACAACCATTGAGTCCACTGTCTACTTCTTCCCAAAGATAATGGATATTTTCTATAAATTGAGATTTTAGAAATGACAAGGAGTAGTATTGTATTTCAGTAACAGGAGTAAATAACATTTGTAACAGAAAATTTTATACACAACTAGAAGCCCGATGCACAAAATTCGTGCAAGGGGCTTGGCCCTCTCAGCCCCAGCTTCATCTGGAAGGTTGTCCGAAGGTCGTCCGGAAGGTCGTTTGGCTGTCTGGACTAATTAGCATATTACGCTTTTATTATTATAGATTGGAGTTACATGAAACAAGAAAAAAACACTTTTCAGTAAGCCATAAAATCAATCACAGAAATCTCAATGTCCCTCTTTCCACAGACCTGGTAAGGTGTCAAAGGAGTTAATCATAACATTTGACTGTATTCAGATCTAATCAACAATGATTTTTACTCAGAATGATTGTATCTCAACATGCTGCTCACAAGGACTGGATAGATCTAAAACTAGAGACTCAGGTCTTGCGATCAGACAGAAGGCATGAGGAGTGAACCCAAGATGCTCTGATGTACGTGACAATGAAGCCATAATAGAGAGAGGAAGGAAGAGGGAAAGGTATAGAGAGAAACATCGACATGAGAGTGAAACATCGACTGGCTGCCTGCTGCACGTGTCCCAACTGGGGATCGAACCCGCGACCCAGGCATGTGCCCTAACCAGGAATCAAGCCAATGACGTTTCAGTGCATGGGATGCCCAACTGAGCCACACCAGCCAGAGCAAAGTCACACTTTTTTATTGCCCAACCACAGATGTATGGCATTATCTTGGTGAAAGAACTAATGAATGGCTTCCCCTTTGAAGTATTCATTTAAAAAAAAAAGAGAAACCAACCCTAGGGTGCAACATAAAACACAAACTCAACTTTAAAAACACATCACTGCTCCCTCCCTCCTTCTCAGGTAAAAAAAAAAACCACGGGCAGATCAGAATGGGGCAAAAGTTGCTGGCAATATCTAGGGAGACAGGGGAGGAGAGTGGGGTACCCACCTTGTAGTTCAAGGCCCACTCCAGGTATGCGTCAGTGTATGGAAGAGGACTTAGGGGTCAAGGAGAAGAGGGAGTGAAGTAGTGCATGTCAGAGAAACTGGAATGGACAAAAATTTGAAGGAACCCTGGATGAGAACCAGGTGGGAGCGTATGATGTGCATGTGTGTGCCTGTTACGTGCACAGGTGTGTGACATGGTTCCTATCTCTGCCCATGAGAAGACTTGTAAGCAGCTTTCTGCTGTTCTCCACCCACAGGAACCAGGCTCCCTAGAGAGACAGCCCACTCCAAGGCTGAGGCAGGGGAAGAATTAGACCACCTGTGAACATTTCCTATGCCAGCAAGTAAGGAAGTGACCAAAGAATGACAAAGAAGCCAGCAGGAGGTACTCCCATTGGCCAACCTTGGGACAGTTCGGCATCAAGGTAAATTATAACCCACTGAACAAGGTAAGAATGCAGATCATACTGATAAAAATTAAAACAAAATAAATGGGGAGAAGAGAAAGCTCTTCACTGTGGTCGAAGGCCAACTAATAAATATGGAATAAGAAAATAACCATTTTGTAACCAGCATAGCAATAATTGATTCAGGTGCCGAAACCGGTTTGGCTCAGTGGATAGAGCGTCGGCCTGCGGACTGAAAGGTCCCAGGTTCGATTCCGGTCAAGGGCATGTACCTGGGTTGCGGGCACATCCCCAGTAGGAGATGTGCAGGAGGCAGCTGATCGATGTTTCTCTCTCATCGATGGTTCTAACTCTCTATATCTCTCTCCCTTCCTCTCTGTAAAAAATCAATAAAATATATTTTAAAAAAATAATTGATTCAGGGAAGATACATCAATGACTGCTAAAAACTAGTGGGTGAAAAGTAGGATTAGGGGATGATAGCCACCCCCTCCCCCACAGGAGAACACAGCAATGCTCTGTCATATCCCTGCCAAAGTTCCTAGTCTGCTTGTGAGGAAGAGTTGAACAAACACTAAGTGAGGGGCATTGTACTACAGGGGAGCTACCGGCTGGTCCTGGTCTGGATCCTTCTGCTACAAGGATGTACGAGACACAAGGCAGATCCTGAGGGATGTCTCTGTGTTGTAACTATTACCTATGTTAGAAATTGTTTCAAACTCAAAAGCAGCATGTCACTTTACAAAGTAAAGGATAATAAGAAAGATGGACAAAGGGCACACACAGGTGATATACTGCCTGCCTGCAATATCCAAACAGATCATTTTCAGGAAGGCTAGCACAGTCATAAAGGAATGTTGAAGAATGAGTTCCGATCGGGATGTAGACAGGAATGTCATAGATCAAGGGTGGGGAACCTTTTTTCCTGCGAAGGGCCATTTGGATATTTATAACATCATTCTCGGGCCATACAAAATTATCAACTTAAAAAGTTAGCCTGCTGTGCTTGGTCAAACATTTAATTAACTCACCCCTTCACTGGCCTTGTACGACCTGCGGGCCGGATGTTCCCCCACCCCTGCGATAGATGATAAAATAAAACTTTGGAACATACACAGACTCTGAAAGTCTGGTAAAGAAAATTAATAGGTGAGAGTACAGAGAGAGAAAGAAACAGGTGAGGGGCAGAGGAGGGGAAACAAACACATGGTATGTCTTCTCTTTGAATGAATGGAAAAGAGTGAGATTAATCCAAGTTAAGAAAAACAAAACAAAAACAACACCAACTTGAGGTGTAGGAAATACTTAGTAAATGAGGATGTGAAAGAAACTATTATAAGTTGCTGGGACCAACACAGGAAAAAAACTGAATTCTACTTCTAAAAAATAATAATCAAAATCATTCCATATTCTATGCCCTTGTCACCAAGAATTTACTCTTTAAGAATTAAGCTACCATTTGTGAGTATCAGTGCATTCAGTTATCTCTGTTTGGTAACAGTAAATATTGGAAGAGCTTCTTCGATCTCTCCAGAGAGAGATGGCAACAGTCATATCAGTATGAACGTTTGAGTCTCAATAGCAGTTATCTTTCTCACTGGAAATCCTTAAATGCGGTTCTCACTTAAAGCATTAGCCTCAGAGGCTGGCTAAGGTGAGTCAGCCTGGGAGAGAGCCTTCCTGCTGTGGTGATGGAATCAAATTGCTGTGTCTGCAGGAAGACAGGCTGGGCTTAGAAAATTCTCCAAACTAATACTAGTCTCTGAAGCCTACTGATGGAGAGCAGCTTCCTACGGTAACAACACAGCCTCTCTTCCTTTACAAATGCTAACAATATTCTTTAACAAATAAAATGTGATCACCTGTCTTCGAAAATGACCAATGGCAGACTTAGGGTCTCGGGAACTGTATGAGTAGCTCTGAACTCCAGTTGAGAAGTCAAATTGACTCATTTCCTCACTCAGACTACTGTCTGCCAAGTATGACAAGGAAGATATGTAATGAGGACCACCTGAAATATAAGTAAAAAGAAAACATATTATTCAAGTATATTAAGAAATGCATCTTTTGAAGCTCAGTTAATATTAAGGGATACCATCAACTAAGGCTTTCATCACCCCTATGATTAACAAAGCAAAAAGGAAACGGGGCAAAGATCCCTTCTGCTTTTCTCATTATTGACTAGTTATCTTCTGTCATGGACAAAGAAATTAAGTTAAACTAGATCCAATTTTTAGCTATATTAAGATTATTTGCATTTAAAATTTTAACAATGTACATTTTGCCCATGAAAGGTAGTATAAATGTGGGAAAAGATACTAATGAAAAATAACTAATCCTAAATATGTAAGGAATTTGGGAAACTGATCCAAATTTTATCCTCAAGTCAAGAAAGCAAAGCTATGCAGGAAAATTAAGCAGAAAATCAAAACAAAGTGTATGTGGAGAGAGGGTTCATCTTACATAGGGAGGCCAGGGAGAACTTCCTTCAGGAGTTGGCATTAAACAAAAGGTCATAATCCAGGTAGATATCTGGGGCCAAGGTTATTTCAGGCTGAGGTAACATACATGCAAATGCCCGGAGGCAAAAGTGAGCCCAGTGCCTACAGGCACAGGCAGGGGGCCAGGCTGCTAGAGAGGAATGAGCAGAAAGTAGAGTGACGGGGAAGTCAGGGCCTTGGACAGCTCTGTCCTGAGGGCGGTGGGAGCTAACGTGAGGTGTAGCAGGATGGAAGTTGTATTTTACACAGAGATTTCTAAATATATCTAAATAATATAATCCATATTCAAACAAATAAATATCAAGCCAATCTTGCACTAAAGTGTACCTATCTGAGCCTCCTGAGGCCACTTAGAGATCTTCTATGCAGTTAAAGTTTAGTTTAATTGCATTTATTTCAAGATAGAATTTCCACTCACCACTTAAAATTTTTTCAAACTGAATTTCAATGTTTTGGGGTATTTAAGGTATTTTTCTATTATGTAACAAATATGAACCATTATAATCTTTCTCCTTATTTTGATAACATCCTACCTGAATCCCCATTTGCTGCTTCCCTGGCTTCTTTCCTAATTTCAATGTACTTTTTCTTTCTTTCCATAGGAACCTATTAGGCAAATCAAATACACAATTTAAGACTTTTTAGAAACATGGCCACCTGTTTTCTATGTTAGTAGCAATCTAGCAAAAAAGTAATTTTTAAACAAAACTTTTATCAAATTTAGAAGTATTAAACAATATCCACAAAAAAAGACAGGTGAGTACCCCTTCAGGAAAGCTCTTTCCACAGATTCCCACAGAGCCCTGGGCTCTGGGACAGTATTTGCTAAGCTCTTATAGCCACAAGCCTGGATTACCAATAGTCTGTACTTGACCTGTGAGCCTGTTTCCTCAACGGTTCTGATACGTCATAGCACCTTACAGTGCGGCTGTCAAGTTCAGAAGTCATACACAGCAAGCGCCTGCTTAATAAACTAGTGCTGTTATTTTTTGTTTTAGTTCTTGGAACGTATGTCTAGAAAGAAGTTTCCAGTCTTATTCCAAAAGGGCACAAGGCAGGAAGCAACCATTTATGTGAACTCGTGAACCCTAAGACATGGTTGCGGTCAGCAGCTGTGAAGAGACGCGAATGACAGCTCCTGGCACAGCTCTGTCCGTTAGCACGCGGTGCATGAGCTTTGGTTCTCTGCCAACGTCATTTTTCCACAAGGCTGGGAAAGACTGCAGCCACCACCTTTCCATCAACTGCTTAAGGGGGTGTATCAAACTGAGCTTGGCTAAAATCAAGCTGGTCACATTTGCCAGAGCAAATTTTGCAATTATCCCCATGACTTCTCATGGCACCCTCATTACCCTGCCAAATAAACACAAGCAGGGCCAGAGGGTCATAATTCTGTATCCAAATGGATCTCAATTTCATTGAACAGAGGAATTTACTCAGAAAACAACTTCTGGGATATGTCCTAACAGCTTCTTTTATTGGCACTGTCTTTCTTTTACCAGCCGAGAAAGGGAAAAATAAGTTTGATGAATTTCGTTGCAGTTGCCTGAGATTGTACCTCAGGTGGAACTACTTGAAAGTGCCAGTGTTTGTAGTTCCAAGCAGATATGAATACTGCAATTTAATATGTTCAGCATAATACATATTTTCCTGTATAAGTACTTGGTAAGTTTTTTAACTTAGAAACACCATTGAAAAATTTCACTCACCTCCACTTCCACGGGAAATGTATAGCAGCGGTTCAGGTCTATCAGATTTTCAAAGATAAGCAAGTTCTGTGAATTCAAAGGATCGCAGAAAAATATCTGAGTGGTGGAGATCCTTACTACTGATGTTACTACAAAATTAGTAATTCATGGAGAAGCACTTCAGCTTTATACATATGAGGAACTCAAAGAATTACATCTACAGCTTTATAGGAAGGTGCAAATTATGATATAACTTTAATTGATGTAATCTAACTTTTGAAATCCTATAATGATAGCAGTATTAAACACATCAGGAAAGGCCTACCTTTTCTGGTTTTTCACTAAACAGAAAACCTTGGTAAAATTTTAATTCATTAAAGACACAGCAGATAAGAGAAATGGCACAGTTGTAGGCAGCACAATGGTACAGTCTTCTCCTTTCCAGCAACTGATTCTCACCAGCCATGTTCTCTGTAAACGCATCATAGCACAGTCTGCAGAGGAGATCCAGGTTAAAAATTAATTCGTGTGACAAGGAAATCACTGCTCAAGTCCAACAATGCCAGACAACAGGACTTCAATTCAGTTCAGGTTTTTGCCCAACTGAGTACTAGGCCCTGGGACTAGAGGACGAGCAAGTCACTGTCCCGGGATTTCACCACACTGCAATAAGCAGAGAGCAACAAGCACAGTAAGGTAAGAAATGGAAGTAAGGAGGACAGAAAGCAGTCCAGCAAAAGAAGCCAAGAAGAAAGGTTTTAAGAGAAAATATATGAGTTTCAAATTATAAATTAGCCAAAGGGAAATATACACAGGCAGCAGAAGCAGAGAGAAGAGGGTCACTTATAACTAGGGATAAACTGCACGGTGTGTTCCTAGGACAGAATGTAAAACAGTGGCTAGCAGCAAGTGAAAGGTGCATTCCCGGAAGAGCTCACGGCCATAAGGAGCTTTACTGGAACACAGCCATGCCCATTAGTTTACATGCTATTTATGGTTGATTTTGGGTAGCAGCTGCAACTGATGGTCCGCAAAGCAAAAAATAGTTACTATCAGGCCCTTTGCAAAAAAAGTTTGTCAACCCTGCTACTGAAGATGAGGTTCCTGAAAAGGGTTTTAGGCAGGGAAGTTAAACAATCAGAGTTGAGAGAGACAATCCTAGGAGCAAGGAGAATAATTATGAAGGAGACTACTAGAGTGTTCACCAAAGAACAGCAGACCCAACAAGGCTGTGCGAAGGGGAATGAAATAAAGGCAGTGGTTTCGGGAATACTGAGGAGATAAAAATCCACTGGTGACTGATAGGATGTAGGTGAAGGAAGAATAAACTACAACTCCCAAGTCTTGGTTTTGCAAATGAGACTTGGCTGGGCCTGTCATAGACTGAGAAGATAAAGTAAGGATGCTATGCTTGTTCTGAATATGCAAAATTGGACATGTCAATCAATGTGTGTGTTCAATATTTACTAAGAAGTAACTTCAGTAGAAGGCTGTTTTTAAAGAAAATGTATTTGATTACTTCGTGTTTTGTAAAATGTCTGCTTAAAAAATAGTTTAACACTCCTTTAATTTCAAATAATAGAAAATAATAAAATATACCAAATTCCTTCTTACTGTATGTGATATCACTAAAAATATATAAAGCTACTGAGGTTTAAGTTGAAAGGAAAAAAGAGTTAAAAAAAAGATTTTTGTTCTTTATAAAACATAAGTATGTTACTCAATAACAAACTAAAGTCCATTTAAGAAGGTTGTAAATAAGAAAACTATAAAATTCAGTATTTAACAAACTTAAAACATTTATTCATATTATGCATATGAATAAAAATATATATCAAAAATATTATATCAAATACAACATAAAAGTAACTAAAACCTTACTTAATAAGTGTCTTTGTAAGTTCACTTCCTTCTGTTACACCGGAGCCATGAAAAACTTGATTAATTTTGGATTCCTTAGAGTGAACATCATCTTTTGGAAGACGAGAATACATCACCTCTAATATTTTATAATAGCCCATCTTCTTGGTGATTTGAGTATCAAAGGTAGATTCGTTTAGCTAAGAAAAGGAAACAAATAATTATCTTTGATCTTATCAAACATGAAAAATACTTTACAGACTATATCAAATTTAATACTTAATGCCCTTTATATAGAAAGTAATTCCAGCAAAGATGTTAAATCACTTCAGTGAGAGACAGCCCAGGGTCTAAAAAACATGGATATAAATATTGATGTGTTATATTCAGTGCAGCATAAAATAATGCAAAATGTCCAAATAGTGAGCTTAGAGTATGAGTATACAAGTTTTGCATAAAATCTTATTGAAGGTATAATGATAGCAGTAGAAAATTCAATTATTAGAAAACAAAATTTTCAACTATGTATATTAACAATTTGCCATTTGGGTATTTACAACATTCCCAACAGTATTCTGCAAACTCTAAATGTCTCCAACCCCCAAAAGTTATTCACACTTCAATCCCTGAAATATGTGAATAAAACCTCATAAGGCCAAAAAAAAAGAGTTTGCAAATGTGATTAAGTTAAGGATCTTAACATGGGGATATAATTCTGGATATTTCATGTGGACCCCAAATAAAACCACATGTAGTAGGAGGGATCTAGAAGGAGATAAAATAGGCAAGAAAAGCAAAGTGACAATAGAGGCAGAGACTAGAGTAGTGCAGTCACAAGTCAAGCTGGAAGAGACAAGGAATGAGTACTCAGAGCTGCTGGGGCAAGTGTGGCCCTTTCCACACCTTGACTTTGATTCAGTGAAACTGATTTGGGACTTCTGGCCTCCAAAACTGTGAGACAATAAATTCCTGTTGTTCTAAGCCTCCAAGTTTATGGTAATTTGCTACAGCAGATTCACAAAACTAAAACACATTTTGGAACTAAGAGTTGGGGGCTGCTGACAGAAAAAGCCTAGATTGACTTGTAGAGATTGTTGGTAGAAATATCGACATTAAAGGCATTAGTGGTAAGGGCTCAAAAGGAAGTGAAGAAATGGGAAAGAACGCCAATATTGTCTTAGGGAATATCTCAGTCATGATAAACATATTTTTGGTAGAAATACGGACATTAAGTAGTTGCTGGTGAGGTCTCAAAAGGAAATAAGAAACATATTTTTGCTAACTGGAGGAAACGAGATCCTGGTTAAATAGTGTCAGAAAACTTAGTTGAATACTAGTCTATAGCTGTGCAGAAAGCAGAACTTATAAGCTATGCAACTGAATATTTAACACATTGCGGACCAGTAGTTTTATTGCTAGCGTTACCCAGTGGCCAGATAAGTTTCTACTGAACGAGTACAAAAAACATTTTACATAAATGTTAAAGGCACGCTTTAGAATTAAATATGCATTGCATTTTGAAGTTATTTATTACATGTTCTTACAAACTAATATCTTCTCTTTTTTTTGCATTTTGAATAAGTTTTTTTAAACTTTTTTTATTGCTTAAAATATTACAAAGAGTAGTACATTTGTCTCCTTTTTTTCCCCCTTGACCTTCCCCCACCCTCCCC